TTTTCTTAGTGTTTTGTCATTCTCCCTGTATATATCTCTCACATCTTTTGTTAAATATATTCCTAGATATTTAATTTTCTTTGAGGCTATTGTAAAAGGTATTGCGTTTTTGATTTGAATGTTGGCTTGACTGTTATTGGCATATGTGAATGCCTCTGATTTGTGTGTATCGATTTTGTATCCTGAGACTTTACTGAATTCATTTATCAATTCCAGGAGTCTCTTGGTTGAATCCTTGGGGTTTTCCACATATAATATCATATCATTGGCAGAGCGAGAGTTTAATCTCATCTGCTCCCATTTGGTTGCCCTTAATTCCCCTCTCTTGTCTAATTGCTCTGTCAAGGACTTCCAGCATTATGTTGAATAGAAGTGGAGATAGTGGGCAACCTTGTCTGGTTCCAGTTATAAGTGGAAATGCTTTCAATTTTTCCCCATTCAGTGTGTATTGGCTGTGGGTTTATCATAAATGGACTTGATTATTCTAAGGTATGACTCATCTATGCCTATTACGTTAAGAGTTTTTATTATAAGGTGTGCTGGACTTTGTCAAATGCTTTTTCTGCATCTATTGAGAGAATCGTATGGTCTTTGTTCTTGCTTTTATTTATGAGGTGAATCACATTTATAGATTTGCATATGTTGAACCAGCCTTGCATCCCTGGTATAAAGCCCACCTGGTCATGGTGAATTATTTTTTTGATATGCTGCTGAATTCGATTTGCTAAAATTTTGTTGAGGATTTTTGCATCTATATTCATGAGGGATATTGGTCTGTAGTTTTCTTTTTTTGCTGTGTCCTTTCCTGGCTTTGGTATCAAGTTGATATTGGCTTTGTAGAATGAATTAGGAAGGATACCGTCTTTCTCAATGTTGTGGAATAATTTCTGTTGTATAGGTATGAGTTCTTCTTTGTATGTTTGGTAAAACTCTGAAGTGTAGCCATCTGGTCTTGGACTTTTCCATTTTGGAAGGTTTTTAATTGCTCTTGCAATTTCTGTGCTTGAGATTTGTCTATTCAGGAATTCTATTACCTCCTTGGTGAAATTAGGGAGGTTGTATGTTTCCAGAAATTTGTCCATTTCCTCCTCATTATGTAGTTTTGGGCATATAGGTTTTTATAGTAATCAAAAATAATGTTTTGTATTTCCATGGTCTGACCTGCCTCTTACATCTACCCACTTCCCTGCATTCCTACTGCTTCTACCCTAGTTTTGACCCCTATTATCTTTAGCATAACTTATCTAGTTAACCGGCTTAGTGCCTGATCCCTAGAAAATGCTCCTAAGATTTATTTTGGTTGAACTAATGAACCTACTAAGTGATCTCCCAATTTATGATCTCTCTCACTCCAATACATCCTTCGTATTGCTGCCAATAAAATTTCTAAAACACAGATCTGTCTCTATTATTTCCTTGTTCAAGAAAGCTTCAGTCTCTCACTTGCTTAATGTGAAAGACCTTAGGCCCAAATTTTCTATAGATTATTAAGAAGTTTACATAAATATTGACAACAGAGACAGACAGCAATACTTTACAAGTACAAATGTAACTACTTCTCTGGTAAAGCAGAACAGCAATTCGAGTAGTGAGTAGGGAATAGGAAATACCAAGTAGAAGCTACACTAATAAATTAGCTAGGACAGATGGTTAATAAAAGAATGAATTGGTATAATCTGTGGAGTAAGGATATCTTAGAATTTTGCCTGTCAAATTAATGAAATTTTGGACTGAGATGACACCAATTTACTAAAATGGACTATCATGGTTATAGAGATTCAAACACGCTTTCTGGAGTTTGTGTGTGAAACAGTAGAAAATGAAATTTGGTGGAGACCATTGCTCATATTGTTCTCTTAGTCTTTAACTTCCCCCTTCAATTTTTGTGGTTCAGTTTAAATGCTGCCCCTTCCATAAAAACCCTTGCTTCTCTGGGAGGATTCCTGTGGCAAGGATGCCAAAGTGTGTATTATTCCAGGGCAAGTAATGCTCAGTTTGCTCGTATAATGTCTTGGATTCAGGGCATTGTTAGGGAGGTATTTCTGTTTGTCAAAACTCACTCAAATACAAGTATCATAAAACCAACTGAAATATGTACAATAAGTGAAAAGGGGGTTTATTTTACTATTAGACTTCAGAAGACCGAAGGTGAGGTTGGCATCAGGTGAGACTGGATTCAGAGACTCGAGTAATGTCCTCAAGGCTCCATCTCTCAGCTCTACTTGGGAGTTGAGGATACAGATTGGTGTGGCTGAGGACCACTTCTTTTAGCCATAAGGCCTTAAAATTATTTCACATTTTAAACTGTGTGCAAACATTCAGGAAGAAGCTATGAGCTGTGTCAAATGCTGCTGAGAAGCAGGATAAGATAAGAATGGAAAATTCATTATTAAATATAACAAGAGAGGTATTTATGTTGATTTCACTGGAGTGGAGATGAACACCTTATTTTCATTGATTGAGGAAGGAATAGGAGACGGGAAAATGGAGATTATAAACACACATAGCTCTTTCCCTCCCACTCCCTGCTTCTCCCTCCCTCTCTTCGTTCGTTCGTTCCTTCCTTCCTTCCTTCCTTCTTTCTCTAGAAGATTAAATATATTACAGTATGGTTTTTTGGGAATGATTGAGTAAAGATGAACAAATTAATGATGCAGAAGATAGAGAGGATACCTACAGGAACAAAATTGTTTGAGTGGTCAAGAAGGTCTCGACCACTCAAGGAATTTTGCAGAAGTGCAATGGTCTGCCTTAGATATATACAGGGACAGTCCATCCTTTGTAATAGGAGGGAGACAGAAAGATTGGTAGATTTAGTGGTGGGAGGATGTATAAGGATATCAAGTAGCCTTCAATAAAAGAAAGACTGCATTAATAGTGATTTAACAAAAAAGAAGACTATTTCTCCTATACGTAAATGTTCAGGTAGGCAGTCTAGAGCAGACTGCAGACTATGGAGCTGTGGCTCCATAGTCAATTATCCAGGCTCTATCTTGTTGCCATGCCAACCTCAACATGCAGCTCACGCTTGCTGGTCTAAAGGTGAACTGCTCTATCTTCTGCTATCGTGACCGAATGCTAGCCAAAGGGGAAGGGAGAAGTAGAAGGGGAAAGCACATATCTTTTGTGTAAAGGGCACAACCTAGAGATTGTCCCTGTTCTGTCCATATCTCATTGGCCATAATTTAATCACATCATTACTCCTAACTGTAGGGGAGGCCTGGGAAATTTAGTGTTTGGCTGGGTGACTATGTGCCCAACTAAAAATGTTATCCCTGCTGTATGAGAAGTAGAAAATGGATAATGGGGAACAGCCAGAGTCCTTTGCTACAAAGGATATGGTAGTATGGTAGTTCTTTTCCGATTGCTTTTAGTTTCTCAATGAATAGGTGAGTGCATCAGCTAAGTGAAAGAATGGATGAGATTTGGGGGGTTCGAGGAGCAAGGAGAAGGAGCAAAATAGTCACCTTGAAGAGTGAGTTAGGTAGGGAACTGTACTAAGATTGCCAGGCTGTGCGGACAGACTATTTGAATCTTGTGAACAAAGGAAATAGTAGAATCAGATCATCCTGACATCTTCCTGAAGCTTTGCATATTCAGAAAATACTCTGCTTAAAGCAACTTTGATATAATGATATGTTTGTGATCAGGCACACGTTTCAGTGGGCTAAAGAGCTCTTAATAAAGATACTCCATTGGCTAAGAACAATTTGTCCCAGGCTCAGAGAATGCATGTTTGTTTTCCTCATTTCCCAATCTGTAAAAAAGCAGCTTCCGAAAGGGGTCATAATGTCCATCTCCAGAAGCTGTCAGCTTTCCTCTGTCAAACTCCGTGATTTGGGCTGAAGTAAGTGCTGGAGATGTGGCTACCTTGGGCACACAGATGGCCACTGGTCTAATAAGTTCAGATTTTCCCTTATCTTTTCAGGATAAATAGCCAAAGTGGAACCTTGGGAAACTTCTTCATTTTTTCCTGTCACAAAGAATTGGCGATTCAGTAGTCACAGGAGTTTGTAATAAATAACCCACATTGATTTCTCTGTTCTGGAATGATTTTGCTTCCCTTCCTCCCAGAGCCCTGACCCTTGCCCCAAGAGGCAGTGTTGGGAAATCATTTACAAAGTGGCACAGACTCCCTATTGCTTTGCCTATAAATCCAGGCTGGATGGGGTAGTTCTGAGGCAAGGGATCTAGGCCTTCCAACCCCAGAGCTTTTAGCCAAAGATATTTCCTCCACGGGGGCAAATTCAGGTCCTGGGAGCATTGGCAGAAGGACGTGACCATGGAGAAGCTGTTGTGGTGTTTCCTGGTCTTGATCAGCTTCTCTGATGCTTTTGGCCAGACAGGTAGAGGCTACCCCAGGTTATGCCAGAGATTTGATCTGAAGAATGGAGGTGGGGCCTAAGATTATACAAACTGAAGTCAGCGGAACATCCAACATGATTTGTGTATGTGTGTGTATGTATGTGTGTGTGTTTAACTGGGGAAGGGGTCAGTCTATTTCTTAGTCCCAAACTCTATATGTAAGTGAGGGGATAGATCTTTGTGATCTTAGAAACTTCTCATCTTTACTTGGTTTTCTATCTCACAGACATGGATAAGAAGGCCTTTGTGTTTCCCACGGAGTCTGATAATTCCTATGTATCCCTGAAAGCACAGTTAAAGAAGCCTCTCAAAGCCTTCACTGTGTGCCTCCATGTCTACACTGAACTATCCAAGACCCGTGGATATAGTATTTTCTCTTATGCTACGAAGGAGCAACCTAATGAGATCCTCATATTTTGGTCTAAGGATAGAGGATATGTTTTTGGGGTGGGTGGGCCTGAAATATTATTCACGGTTCCTGAAGTCACCGTAGCTCCAGTACACATTTGCGCGAGCTGGGAGTCCACCTCAGGGATTGCAGAGTTCTGGGTGGACGGGAAGCCCATGGTGAGGAAGAGTCTGAAGAAGGGATACTCTGTCGGGACAGAGGCAAGCATCATCCTAGGGCAGGAACAGGATTCTTTTGGTGGGAGCTTTGAGGCAAACCAGTCTTTGGTGGGAGACATTGGAGATGTGAACATGTGGGACTTCGTGCTGTCACCAGAAGAGATTAACACCGTCTATGCTGGTGGGACCTTCAGTCCTAATGTCCTGGACTGGCGGAAGCTGACATATGAAGCACACGGTGAAGTTTTTACCAAGCCCCAGCTGTGGTCGTGAGGCCCGATCATGGGTTCTGCAGGTGCCTCCTGGGGATTCTGCCTCATGGGCCCCTGGTGCTGGCTTTGGACACACTGCAGGCCTCCTCTGTGAACATAGCCCCTACTTCCTTGCTCTGCCTTCCTCACACCTCAGAATGGAATTTAAGTGTCTGGATTGGAAGTTGATGAACTACATGGGGAAGTTTTGTCCGGGAGAATCAGAATTGCAGGTGGTTTGTGTTTTTTTTTTCCCCCTATTTTTGTGTTTTTTGAATTGAACGGATTTTAAAGATAATCCTTTACCCTCACTTAGATGATAAAACTGATACCGAGAAAGAAGTGATTCTTTAAAAAGAGTCACAAGGCAAGGACATTTCTGAGCTGAGAATGGAGTGTTGGTTTTCAACCTAATTCCCCACCCAGGACCACCCAGAGGGCGTTGCCCACATTCACAGGGCTCTTCAGTCTCAGAATTAGGACACTGGCCAGGACCTCTGGATTCAGAGTCCAGAGTGCTCATCATTATGTCGTGGGCCCAGGCATTCTGAAATGGGAAACCCAGTGGGACTACAGTCCCTCCATTTCCTCAAAGCATCCTGGAAAGGCAGGCTTTTTGTCCCGGGCAAAATGAGGTATGGAGGTATAGTTACTTTGTTACTGCCAAGAGCTTACATAACAATGGTTTTCATTTGCTCTCACTGCTTTCTTAATTTTATAGTTCTTTCAGGAAACTCTTCCACTGCTGGTGAGCCTCGTGGGGCTGTGGATTCCTCCTCCATCCCCACCTTCCCAACATACCCAGGCCATAAGGGTGGCTGTGTGACCCACGCCATGCTGTCTATCACAGCAGCCCATCTCCCCGTCTCCCATCTGGAGGTTGTTTTTGGGTGGTTGTGTGTTCCCCGCAGGACTGATTATAGTCTTCCCAAGGACTGAGTTATGGCCTTTGGGAGGGAGATATCTTCTTGCTGCTGGATTTCCGAGCTGAGAGGATGTGAGCCTGGGACTGCCAGCAGCTATCCTGTTCACCACATGGAGAGAGACTGTGAGGACAGCTCCAAGCTGGGAGTGGAAGAGCTGAGGGACTGACAGAGCAATGGAGCCTTGACTATATTGAATCTCTCAGTCGGCCTTGCTTGGAACCAGACCTACACCTGGACTTCTGGGTCCATGAGCCAATAAAGCCCCTGTTACTTGCACGAGTTTGAGCTGTTTTCTGATGGTTACGTTAGAGGTTGTGACTAACTTCTCTAATGACCTCTAAAACTAAGTCTCTGTGAGTTCAGACTGACTGTCACTGTCCTGCAACAAAGCATCCATGGCACTCCAACCTCTCCTGGAGTCTCCTGCAGGGGTTCCCTCTGACAAGTACAGCCCCTCTTTTGAGCTAGCTGGCCATTCATGTGGGGCCAATTGTGGGGGTTTTAATACTCTCACTCTATCACTATTCCAATTTGAGGAACAAAAACTAAAGATCATCGGGATCCATGAATCTCTTGCCAGGTTCAGTGACTGGAATGCACTGGCCGCAGTCCACTGGGGTCCTTTGCAGAAACGGACCCCTGAAACCTGATGGCTGCTGGCTGGCTCCAGAGGCTTTCACCACCGTCGTTTGGTGCAAAGTGAGCAATTAAAGTCACTCCCCAGAGGCCACAGCCAGCCGTGACACATTTGGCTCCCCGTTTATCAAGTAGTTACTTTAGGGGAGGCACGTCGTAGACTAGTTAAGCATAGAGGTTCTGGGATCAGACTGCCTAGGTCCAAATCCTGGCTTTACAACTTACTAGCCACATGACCTTAGGTAATATAACTTCTTTATGTCTCAGTTTTCTTTCCTACAAAATGGGAGAAATTACAGTAATTATTAATAGCTCGAAGGGATGCTGTAAGAATCAAAGAAGATCATGCAAATAAGGCACTTAGTACAGTGCCCAACACACAGTAAGCCTTTTATCACAGTTATCTACTATTATTATTATTGTTATTCTTAGGCTGTTTTGTATTGTATCCCTAAACAGCTTCATTTTATACCATAAAAGTACAACTTGGTACAATTTGTCTGGGTTGGTAGCAGTTGACGGGTATGATTTGTTAAGAATTAAGTTTATAACATTAGGAGGATTAATAACAAATCTTTGAAGCAATTATTTATCAATGTTGAATTCTCTGACTTTTTTTTTTTTTTTTTGAGACGGAGTCTTTCTCTGTCGCTTAGCTAGAGTGCAGTGGCATCATCCTAGCTCACTGCAATCTCAATTTCTTGGGCACAAGTGATCATCCTGCCTCAGCCTCTCAAGTAGCTGGGATTACCAGTGTGTGCCACCACACCCAGCTAATTTTTTTCTATTTTTTGTAGAGATGGGGTCTCGTTCTTGCTAGGGCTCGTCTTAAACTCCTTACCTCAAGCGATCCTCCCGCCTCGGCCTCCTAGAGTGCTAGGATTACAGGTGTGTGCCACTGCGCCTGGCCCCTCTAATTGACTTTTGATAATTATTGGGAAACACAGAAGTAAAGGATATGTTCTCAGGCAAAAATGAGAGTGCAACTATTCTCTGTTGTCCAATTAGGGCAGATCCATATACCCTGCTATTCAGCTAAGCAGGAGAGAGGGTTGATACTTTTTTCTAGTTAAAGAATCCAGTCAGGAGATATATCTTAATTATAGAAGGCCATCCCAACTCCCTAGGGATGTGGGTTGAGCTAATATTTTCTTCAGAATTCAATTACTACCTTGCTATACATAGTCTAGTGGACAGCCTGTGGCCCTAATAATTTTAGCCAGGAAAAATTTAACAGCTGGTATTTGCATTCAGTGAACATTAAAAAATCTTAACAAAGCATTCTTAGAATGTTTAAATTTAAGCAAGTTAGCCTACTGGTATGTACTTCAGTGTAATGTTGTTGGAAAATATTCCTAGGTAACTGGTGAGTTGCCATACTACATAGAGTTGTTAGATGTAATCCAACTAAATGTTAGATGACAACTGACAAAGAGGATGACTCTGGTTTGGGCATGTTGGTTCTAAGTAATTCTTTTCTGTGGTGAGTGGAAAGTAAGGTCAATTGTCTAATGAGGCCACTCTAGCTGATGTTAATAAAGCCATGTCAACAGCACCGGTTTTCCCTTATAGCAAGGATCACGCATTCGGTTTGTCCAGAAGTAGAATCAGGCCTCAAGGCATAAGTTAAAAAGACAGAGGGCCAACTGGTATATAAAACATATAATAAAAACAAGGTGAAACAGAGAAGTAGTCCAGTGCATGCAGAGATACTATAGTGCATTTACAGGCCAATAGTATAGGTCAAAGATGCTGGAGGCTGCTACCTGATAGGACACTTTCCTTTTGGAACTGAAAACAGCCATGTTGGTACAAGGGACAGGGCTAGGCCTGACTCTAATGTGAGCACCTTAGCATGGGATGCAGCATGGTGACATGCAGATCAAAAAATTAAAATCTCCCTGTGTCAGGCAGAAATATTAGGTCATTGTTCAGGCAACAAGACTTGCATACTCTCCAACAAGAGGTGGTCATGATGCAGACATGGTTAAGATTGGGTGTACGTAGGGCCAGATGAGTGGACAAGAAGCCATCTCTGTGGTGAGACCTGGTGTACCCAGGGCCCGGAGGAGAGACTACAGGCTACCTCAAAAGTGGGGCTGCGGTCTGATGGGAATGAATTTGGAGTTCCAGTTGACAAAGTAAGTAGAATGTTAAATCTGTGATTTTTTTCCTACATGCTTTTGCTATCCTCAAGTTTGATGTGCCCCAGGGGAGCAAAGAATGACAAAGAAAGCAAATGACTCCAGATCATTGAATGCCACCACTAACAACACCCAAGTCAAGTTTCCAAAGTATAGATTTCTGATCTGTAGAATCCCAGGGAAAAAAAGAGAAGTGCTGCTTTGATTTCTAAATAGCTTCGTCTTAAGGTAACTACCCTCTAGTCTCAGATGGGTTGGCATGACTTGCCTGAATGCCTTCCCTTTGGTTCCCTATGTTTATTTCATCTATGCATCTTTTCATTTCTCCTCTACTAGAAAGTGGGTTAAATGGGCTTGTTATCCTTGTCCTTCAGAACACGCAGACTCCTAGCTCAAATTTCCTGGATTGCCTAGCCCAGTGATAAATTGTGATCTGTTGATTATAGGCATCATTGTAATCTGGGTGTTTATCAGGAGTGTAGATTCATGGACCTCAGACCTTTTAGAGCAGAGTCTCTGGAGTTAGAACCCAGGAATATGGAACGTCAAAAGCTCTTTTGCACAATGTGCTTTTAGAACCATCACTTTAGTGTTTTCCTGGCAGCTCAGCTGTCTTATCTCGGGGACATGTCTGGCTCCCAATAAGCTTGCAGCCAGATGGTCATCTTAAAAGAAGGATCTAGTGCATCTTGACTCAGGTTTTCCCCTTGGCCTACTTCTGGTGCACTCTTTGTAGACTCATTCAGTGTGGTCCCCTCTGCCCCACTTCCTTTCATACACACAGATACGTGATCTCACAAGGTCTCATCACTGCCCCCAGGATGATAATTCCTTAATTACACAGGGTAGATAGCTCACAGTCTTAGAAAACACTTTATACTTACTGAGCTCTTACCATATGCCAGGTCCTTTACAGATAAGTAAGTCCTTTATATATATATGTATCTTGTTTAATGACAACCTTATAAGGTAAGTACTATTTTACCATCCTCATTTCACAGATGAGGAAACTGAGGTCCAGAGAGGATTTGAACCTAGGCAGTCTGGCTACACAGCTCTGTGCTCCTAACCACTGTGTTCTACTGCCACAAAACAAAAGCTTCTACCTGCACTTATACCCCTAGTGGAGGAGGGAGAGTATAGGGTTGTGTGTGGTTTTTCTTATAGGGAAGCCATTCCAGGATGCCATAAATCCAGAGCGTTACCTACCACTGCAGGTCCACTGGCAAGCTCCCCAGTTTTCATTTGGTCCTACGTGTTCAGGAGAGTGGCCTGCACATAGAAATCCCATTTGGCCTCAGCATTAGCACAGCATTAGGTTGACTCTGCCTGTGCAATACTGTCAAAGTTCTTCTTTGGCCTGGACCCCCTCACCTCTTCTACAGCCATGGATGCCCTTAGATGTAACTTCATATCCTAGGAAGCATTCACCAAAGGCAGAGAATCATATGAGGAATTCTCTAGGCCAGCAGTTCTCAACTTTGGATACTCTTATTAGAAAGACCTGGAGAGCTTTCAAAAATCCAGTTGCCCAGGCAATACCCCAGATAATTATGTCAGATTCTCTGGTGGTGAGACCCAGGCATCAGTATTTTAAAGCTCCTTAGTGAATACAACGCACAGCCAAGCCTGCAACAGTGGAGGCTGAGGTTCCATTGTTCTAGGCTGAGTGGTAGCTTTGAGAAGATTGAAGACTCACAGCTGTTGTCCCTGACTGTTCATGTAGTTATTTCTGACCAATATGCCCCTGGCTTCCTCCTTTCCTTATGCTATAGTGGTTTCAGTTTGAATCACAGGAGCATACCAAATTTTATTTCAGCACTGGAGTTTAGAGTTGTAGCTCTAGGATCAAATAAAGTGACAGCCTTGTATTTAGCATGTTCTTATTTATTCAATAAAGCCTCACTGTGGTAACAAACATTCTGTTTGTTTTAGGCTGTTTTTGTTTTCCCCCAATTGATACTTTGGATCTCTGCAATTTGGAATGTTTGATCTACTAGGGATTCAAATCAGAGAAAATCCAAAAGCTGAGATCCTAAAGTATTTTTATTGAAGCATCACAAAATGTAAGAGGAAGAGAGAGAGGCCGCCCAAACGAAATATTTAAAGGAAGGGTAAAGGTCGCATTGCAAGCTGATTCATTACACCTCTCTCCCGATCGAGTTCACCCAGTGCTCTGTGATCTGAAGTGAGCAGTTACAGAGCTGCGCTGGCAGATTGCTGGGACCAGGGGTGGATTGTGAAATGGTTCACGGCAAGGTCTCTCGATTTCTGTCTTTGTCTTTCCCTTATTTCCCTCTTGCTTTAGTCTTGCTCTAGCTCTTGCTCTCTCGATCTCTGTCTTCCTCTTTTTCAGTTTTAGGCCTTGTTCACAGTGTATCTATTTTGGAGGTAGTTCCAGTAATGTAGTGGGCTCCATGAAATCAATAAAATTTCCAGTGTCTACCTATCACATTGGTAGCTGCATTCTTTTGACTTTCCTGGGGAGCTCAGGTGTCAACAAGAAGGCAATTTGGTATTTGG